TCCGGGAAGATCCCACATGCCACGGAGCGGCTGGTCCTGTGAGCCATGGCTGCTGAGCCTGCGCGTCCGGAGCCTGTGCTCCACAGGGGGAGAGGCCGCAGCGGTGAGAGGCCCGTGTACCGCAAAAAAAAAAAAAAAAGGCTAAAAGTTCACAGCAATACTCTAGGAGCAAAAGTTAATGTCATGCATGAAAAAAGATGACTGTCATGCAACAGAAAACAGATTATAATAGGATGTGGTTCACTTTTATTTTAATGTTAAGCATAAAAGGTGTTTGGCTTCTTGTATTAACTATATCTGTTAGTAAAACATACATGTGGGGCTTCCCTGGTGGCGCAGTGGTTAAGAATCCACCTGCCAATGGAGGGGACACGGGTTCGAGCTCTGGTCCGGGAAGATCCCACATGCCGCGGAGCAACTAAGCCCGTGCACCACAACTACTGAGCCTGAGCTCTAGAGCCCGTGAGCCACAACTACTGAAGCCCGTGTGCCACAACTACTGAGCCCACGCGCCACAACTACTGAAGCCGTGCACCTACAGCCCGTGCTCTGCAACGAGAAGCCACCGCAATGAGAAGCCCATGCACCACAACAAAGAGTAGCCCCTGCTAGCCACAACTAGAGAAAGCCCGCATGCAGCAACGAAGACCCGACGCAGCCAAAAATAGATAATTAATAAATAAATTAATTAATTTTTTTAAAAAAACAGATGTGCTGGTGTCAGGAAGCAGGAAAGAATAAATCAAGGAAACTGTGGAAACCGAGAGGTCCTGGGGAAAATGAGGAGCCGTGGAAAGAACAGGAGACAGTCATCGAACCCGAGGCTCCACGTCACGACCAGAGCAAAAGGGGCTCAGGAGTTGGTCAGCCAGCGCTCACCCCCAGAAAGCAAGCAGAAGCAGGGTTCAACGGCACGTTCCAAAGAGATGAAGCAGCTGCATGTCCTATAAGTGAGCCTTGACTACCCAGATGCAGCCCTTCCTCTCCTGGGAGATGAAACCTCCCTGCCTTGTTAACCATAAGGAAGTACTGATTGGAAACAACATGTTTCAAAAATGCTGACAGCCCAGGACACTCCCACATCATGACGGGACAATGGGTTTTGCAGTTCTGGCCAAGTCAGACTTAACAGGGAGCCATCTGGGAACTAGCCAGGATCTCTGAAAGGGCCAAGGTCATGAAGGACACAGAAGGACAAAGGGACTGGACCCAGACTGGAGACAAAGAAACATCTGTGACCTTGGACCAGACTTCCAGCCAGAAAAAGGACACTGGGAGGAATACCTTGTGAAACCTGAATAAACTCCATAGATTAGTTAATAGGCTTTTGCAGCAATTTCATTTTCCAGTTTGGATCAGTGGACCGTTGTAACGTAAAGTGTTAACATTTGGAAAAACCGGATGAAAGGTATATAAGAATTCTTGGTCCTCTTTTTGCAATGTTTTCGTAAGTTTGAAACTGTTTCAAAATGAAAAGTTCAAACTTTTTTTAAATTAAACTTTTTTAAATGTACCATTTGGGCATAGACCCTGATGTTGTAAGAACCTGAAACCTACGTGAGAGACGGCATCCTTGCTTCCAAAGCCTCACACGTACACCCACACCCAGGGAAAGGGAAGCTGTTCACGACTTACACTGGAGGAACTGCTGCCTGGTGCTGGGCTCCGGTTCTGAGGTCCAGTGTTTGTGTTCAGTGATGGCACACACCTGAGTTCCGATGTCGTACTCCTCTAGAAAATCAGAGAATTGTGAATGCACACCTGTCCAGGTGGGCAGGAGAACCTAAGAAGCAGGAACCCCCCCAGCCCCTCTTCCCTGGGCTTCCTCAGGGAAAAAGGGCCCGGACACTAGTCACGTGTCAGAGACCCCTGCTCAATGGACCACACTAAAGTAAAACACGCCGAGGAAAGACCCCAGCCTGACTTGGATTTCCCTTGAAAGTACAGGCATCAGCAACCTCAGAAGCTAGTCTCGGAGATGCTGGCCAAGGGCGTGATGTGACTGACTCACATTCTCTGGTCTCAGTCATCAAGGTTAAGCGTCCATCAGTAGCATGGCTAGCCAGAGGATGGCTCTGAAAATGAGAAGCTCCCCGGTTCTGCTCTCCCTCCCAACTCCCACCTCCTGCGTCAGCCCCGCCGAGACACTACAAGCCACAGCTTCTCACCTTCCTTGGAGAACTCCTGGAGCTTCTCCTTGTAGCTCTGCAGCAACTGGATCAGGTGTGCGGTGGAGTCCGTGATGACCTTGCGGATGCCCGAGAGCTTGTCCTTGAGTCCAATGTAGACACTGGGGAAAGCATCGTCCTTCATGTTCTTGAACTTAGAGTACTCCTGCAGGAAAGGACACACGGCAGAACTTGCCCTGGCTTCTGTGCTTCTTAAACAGGGCTGCCCTCCTCAATACGGCACCTTCCTCATCTGTAAAACAGGCTGATGGTGACATGCACTTCACAAAGGAAGTGTGTGTAATGGGTCCAGCTCAGCGTCTGATAATGTAGAAAGCATTCGTGTTTTTCAACTGGGAAAGTGGACTTTTAAAAATCAAGAGATAGGGCTTCCCTGGTGGCGCAGTGCTTGGGAGTCCGCCTGCCGATGCGGGAGACGCGGGGTCGTGCCCCGTTTCGGGAAGATCCCACATGCCACGGAGCGGCTGGGGCCGTGGGCCACGGCCCCCGGGCCCG